AACATTTGCTGACAAGATTAGTAAAACAAGATGGGGATTGTGGAGTTTGTTGATTAGTCAATAATATGAATACTCTTTCAACAGATACTGGAAAAAAATGTCACACATATCTTTATCTTTGATCTATTTTAAACAAGTTCATTTCTGAGATAAGGGATTTTTTTTTCAGAGTAGGCGATTTAGTTTCTTAGTTTAAAAGAATAGCAACCAAAAAGCCTTAGAAAGTCAGGACAATTTTTTTTTTTTTTAATGACTTGAAAATATTCTTTATATTAGAATCTCCCAAATCAACACTCAAAACATTAGAAAATTAAAATAACTCCATTTTGTGTATTTTTATTACGATGCAGAATACCGAATTTTTTGGTTTTACCACAGCTAAAATTAACTGGATGACTGTTTACATGAGAAGAATTTTATAATCTGGTATAACATTTGGATGTTACATTAATGAATTTATCAGCACTTGAAAATGCCAGTGTGTTAAAAAGTGTCAGGAGGTTATAACTGGTACCCATCTCCTTTACAAGAAGCCATTCTCCCTCTGCTCAAGCCTTACCTATTCTACTGTGTACTAGAGTCACGGGTGACCAGCAGGAGCTTTGGCAACACAGTTAACACCGAAGAAGAGATTAGTGCAGAGTTTCTCAATCTTGGCTGTACATTAGAAACACCTGGGAATTTAAAATCGTTATTAATTCCCAGCCCCACACCTCAGACCAATGTTGATGTATTCTGAATGGTCCCCTCAGGTGAGTTTGTTACCTAAGGCTGAGAACCACTGAATTGGTATTTTCTTTAGCTGTAGACAAACAATTTTCTTATTTGATTTTCTTGATATAGCATCCAAAAAATGAAATAGTTTTGGGGCAAAATATATGATGCTATTAATTTTATTTTAAAGAGAGGAAACAAACTTTCACTTACCTGCCTTCTGACAATGTACAATCTTTTCATATACAGCATCTGCATTTTCAATCAACGCCTTGAGGGACTGAATCATCTGCAAAGGGAATATTCAGACATGAGATTACACCTGACAACTAGATACCCTCCTGCATTCATGCACAAGGCTCTTCTCCTAAAACAGGCTGATATGATGATATCAAACGCTTTTTTATCTGACTTTCCACTACTCAACTTCAAATGTACATGTGAGAAATGATAAAATCACGCATCCCCGCATAATGATTAAAACAAGATGTGAATAGTATTACTTTCCAAGTGCAGTGAGGCTAGTACAACACTGAACTTGAACCCTGAGCTAATACTGAACTGAGTTCATTTCAGTGTGAAAAGCTACAAATATGCATGCAAATCTGATCTGAGTTTTAAACTGTATTTTTGGTTATCCATTTTAACAAAATTTTCAACTTCATCTTATAGAAAACTTCAACACCTACACACTTCACTCATTTTAGCCAAAATGTCTTCATATGAAATTCAGTTTAAAACATACAATGAGAATTTAAAAATAGCATTTGTTTGATACCATCCATCACTAATAGTACCTCTAAAACGAGTAGTTTTATGTTTCTATTAGTGGTTTTTAAAATGTTCAAATTTGAATTCTTATTCCAAATTGCATGTGCTTGTTTTAAGAGCTCAAGCTTGAAGAGGAGAAAGAATCAGTGAACAGCTGATCCATTATTTTACTCACCAAAAAGCTAGGAAAAGATCCCTCTGAAGTAATCTTGTTGGCTCTAAAATCATTATGAAAAGAAAATGGGATAGCCAGAAACAACCCTCATGGCTCAAATGGGTACAATTATGATATCTGCCTTAGTATAAATTCTACATATTTGTATTTAAATGTCCAAATATTTTGCATTATAATATTACTCATCTATTTGACATGACCATCATATTTTAAGTAATAAACACCCATCCATTCCTTTCATTTCTGTCTCATTTTTTATTTATTTATTTTTTAAAGAGACACGGTCTGTTTTGTCAGCCAGGCTGGAGTGCAGTGGTGCATTCATACCTCAGTGCACTCTCCAACTCCTAGACACAAGTAATCCTCCAGCCTCCATCTCCCAGGCAGCTGGGACTACAGGTGTGTGCCACCATGCCTGGCTAATTTTTAACATTTTCTATAGAGATGGGATCTTGCTATGTTGCCCAGGCTGGTCTTATACTCCTAGGCTCAAGTGACCTTCCCACCTTGGCCTCCCAAGCACTGGGATTACAGGCATAAGCCACCACACCTGGCCTGCCTTATTTTTCTTTATAGCATTTATCACTAACTGCCCTAGTAATTATTTTATAGTAACTAAATATATGTAGGTTGGATTATTTGCATAACTCAAAAACCACCATATTTTGGTAAGTTATACTTATTTAAAATGTAACCAACATGTCTCTTAAAAAGTGTACTGGCTTCTTAAGGTTAGTCAAACAGTATTTATCAACTTGTACAGTTCTAAAAAAATGGTAAACATAAAAAGTTTAAAGGCCAAGGTAGGCATTTATTTACGCCTTCATAATGTATCTTTAATCATCACTGGGGTCTACTGCAGGCAGTCCCTGTGTGGAAACCAGGGATACCTGACCTACAGGATACAACCCCTGTCCTCAAGAAGTCCACACCCTATGGCAGAGTTTGCACTTTGGAATTCAGTATTTTCAAATTCATTCTTCAAGATCTGAGTTATTCCTGTAAATTAAAATATTCTATTTTACAGCTTGACATATTGAACAGGCAGCGATAAAAATGAACCGTTAAGAACTTTATTATACTGATATAAAGTCGTTTGTGCCATTACATAATTTGCATACTGGAAAGGTTCATACCGTCATCAGTAACCTTTTTCAGCTTTGATGTCAAGCCAAATGAGAGATACAAAGAAGCAAGGACTTCTTCAAGCAAGGATGGTGATTGTCACAGCTTAGTATCAAAGAACTGGCCAACACTGTGTCCCCATCATTCAAACAGGAAAAGGAAAAAAAATATGATCAATGAAATGAACCTAGTCATGAAACAAATGAGGACAGGAGCAAAAGCAGGAGTGGAGAAGAACAAAACAGCAGCATTAAGCGCAGGCTCACACAAGCAGATGAGAAACTCATCTGGGGAATGGTGTAGCAACAGAAAGAGCACAGATTTACATGGGTTCCAATCCTGGTTTTATTACTCATTAGCTTTGTCATCTAGGACAAGATATTTAACCTCACAACCCTAATTTCCTACCCATAAAATGAGCTTACTAAAGACATTACACCTCATAATGTGAGGACTAAATGAAAGGATGCGTGAGGAGCGACTGGCGCAATGAAGACACTTTCAAGTGGCAGCTGTCACGGTTGACTCCCCATTTATCCAGGAGGCCTGGCAGAGCATTTTCTGGTAGCCCCAAATTAGCTGAATGCCTTCCTTTCATATGTTCACTGGCAATGTTTCCAATACTCATTACTAATTTTAGTTCCACTTGAAAAGCTGGGTGTGATGAAGCTCAGAGAAACAAGTTGCATTATTATTCTTAGAATCATCTTCCAGTTTAAGTATCACCAAAGGATAAATAATTATGTACCTTCCAGCTATAAAATATATGCAAGGCTGAATAAATGCACATTCATCTCAAGGGTCCAGATACAGAAGCTCATCTGCCTCCTAAATTCTATAACACTTGGAGGATTATTTGTTTATTCTTGGGACAATTGTTTACTGAGGCCCTCTATGTGTGGGACCCTGAGCTAAGGGCTGAGTATGAAGCACATGTACCCTAGAACTTAAAGTATATACATAAAAAAGAACAAATGCTGCACTAGGACTATGGTACAGAAATAAAACAGATGCATAAACTATAACTAAAAAGGTGGGATTGCTATTGTAGCCTGTGAGCTATGGGATGTGATAAAATTAAATACTCTGAAGCTACAGCCCTTTGGTGGGACATTTAATGATGAAGTACTTGCGGTGTAATGGTATCCATGTTGACACCCACAGAAGGATCCACTTGTGACTTAGATTTCAATACAGGAAGTTCCTCTGCTGATAATGAGAGTGAATATCACCGCCGCCCCCCATTCATGAGTAGTATATAAAATATGAAGATGACTAATATATCAGGGTGGAGAACACTAATAGTGAGAAGCCATTCCTCCTAGGTTTGAAAGTAAACAGCAGGAGGCATTTGCAGACTGTATTAGAGGGAATTCCAGAGGGAACCAGCCTAGGAGAAGGCAGGCCCATAGTAAACAATCAGCAAAGCATAGACAAGGCAGCAGAAAACACATGCAGACCTCAGCAGAGATGATTCATATTGTCACACCTGTTATCAAATATTTGTACTACTTGCTTCAGAAGGAAGAACTGCCAGTTGGGATATTTTTATAGTTTGGGGGTACATATTTATTATTAAATTAATGTATGGTTAACAGTTTATAGTTCTTGTTCTTAACAGGCATATATTAATCTTCAACTTTTGCATTATTGCATAAATTCTCCTTGAGTCTAAGAGCTCCTTTAGGTGCTGTTAAGGAAGCTCTCAGGACTGTAGGCTCCACAGGAACACCAGGCTTAGAGGACAGGTGAGGCGATGGGCCTTCAGGCCCCTGCTCAGCAGACTGATGCTTCCCTTTCATTCTGTCGTCAATTATTATTGAACGTAGTGCACATGGCACTGAGGATGCAGCAGAGACGACATGGGTCCACCAGCTGATCTAGCAGGGACCACTTTCTGTCTGGGTCTACTGCTTTATAACAAGCTGTGATTATAAATAGTACAAGTGTTGGTTGAATGAATCAAGATGAAAGTAATTCAACATCTCTGCATCAAGTATGTACTTGGTGCTTTCTATTTTATTTACTGATCACATTATCCATGTGAGGTGAGTAATTATGAGGTTAGTTTTACAGATGTGAACACCGAAGACCTACCTGAAACGTAAGCAACCTTTCAAGGTCATCTGGTACTATAGGTAAAATAACTCTAATTAGTAAGTCATGAAACTGGTATTCTGTTTGGTCTTGAAGCCTCTGCTTTTTCCACAAAACCATGACAGGTCTTGACACATGAGTGGCAACTGCACAAGTGAAGACGAAAGGATGTTCCAACCAGAAGAAAGCACAAAAGCAGAGGAAATTTTGTAACTCCTAAAAGCTGCTACACACAATATAGTAATCTCATCTCAGCTACTAACACTGACCCAAAGTTTTTTTTCAGAATAATATTTCTATAAAGCACTTTGAGAAAACATTTTAAAATGACAGCAATAAATTACTTGTCTCTATTTTACAATTCATTATTATAAATAATAAATAATTTATATTTAATGTGAAACTACTAGAATAGGTATCTCAGATTAGACAAAAGCAGATGTGTGGGTAGTAATATCAATGCATGAGCCAAAGGAAAAAACTACTTTATCTTGTTTTCTCTGTGTATATTACATTGATATGTCACTAATGAATGCAAAGCCAAGTAGAGTGGTTAATTATATAAGCATTATCTGCATTAATGCAAATGCATGAATTTCATCAAGCCCCTATAAACACACAGGTGTAAGCCTTGGCACAGCAATCAGACACCCTGCTGCCAGCCTGAGTAACTCACCACATGGATGTTTATATTGTTTTTTCCAGGGCAAGATGCTTTTATATGGTTGTTGCTAATGGATTTTATATTAGTGGCCTGTTACCAGTACCTCCTACATTTCTGGAACTAAAGTGTTTGGAAAATCTATGGATTTAACATAGCCTAGAAATCTATTTCATAAATTTGATCACCTCTAATATAAGATTTTAAAACAGAATTTGAGCAGATGAAAAGCAGGAAATTTCAACTAAAGGCAAAATAAAAATAAAAATTTATATTTTATTAAGCTGGAAAGAAACCAGAAATGCCTTTCATCAGAGTGCTATGTTTTGAAAGAAACTCCCATGTTAGTGTAAAGTAAACTTCTCTGTTTATAGACACAGCTATGAGAAGGGTTATTATTACATAAATATATTATATATTACTAGATTTCTATAGACTGCTCTTCATATTCTGTTTTGAAACTTGCTTATCAACTAGGAAAATTCAATTTTCAGAATAAGCAAGTCTGTGATTTTATATAAGGACCTTATGTCTGATTTCAGACAATTCACTGAATTGCTCTTCATCTTAAGAACACAGATTTTGTTAATAATTATAAAAGTAGTTTGTGAATAATTTTAAATACTTGGGTGAAAGAAGTTTTAGTAATAACATCTTCTGAATTCTAGATTATTTCCCCTTTATCTTGTTTTGAATCTCAGTTTCAGACAGAAAATCCCAACCTCAAAACTCCTTTCTTTGCCTGTCCTACTCAACACAGATGTGACTACTGCATCTTCTGTTGTAGCTGTTTCTAACGAAGTTACAAAGTCTGAGATGTCCTAAAGTTGCTATAAAAGAAAAATGCTAGATAGTAAAAAAACTTTGTTCCTTCACATGGATTCTATGATTACTTGACACATAACAGGGAAATATCTTTCCAAACTCAAAAAAGGTAAAGATTACCATTCTCAAACATGCCAATGGGCTTACAACAATGATGGACTATACACCTGGCCCTAACCACTGAATGCCCCCAAACTGCCATGATCACCTTGGAGATCCATGATAGGCCTCAGTGGACCAGTAAACACCCAGGTAGCAAGATGGGGCTTCAGGCACCACCAGGCTCAGGATGACCTTGGGAGGATTGGACCAAAGCAGGACTTGCTTCTCTGGACTCCAGGGGTGAATACAAAACAGCAAATGTGATCATGGATAAGGTTTTCAGAAAATAGGAACTAATTCAATCCAAAGTAACTTTTTCCCATCTAGTCAGAATTTTCTGAATGGCAACCTCTGTTATGGTTTAAATGTGTCCCCTTCAAAATTCAAGTATTGCCAATGTGATTGTATTAACAGGCAGGGCCTTTAAAAGGTGATGAAGCCAAGAGGCCTCCTCCCTAGTCAATAGGATTAAGGTCCTTATAAAAGAGGTTTCACACAGCGTTCAGATAGTGTGTCCTTTTGTCTCCCGCCACATGAGGAGCCAGTCAGAAGACCCTCACCAGACACCGAGCCTTGATTTTGGACTTCCCAGCCTCCAGAATTATGAGAAAATAAATTTCAGTTTTTATAAATTGCCCAGGATGTGATATTCTGTTTTAAAAACACAAAATAGACTAAAACAGCCTCTTAAAGCTCAGCATCCCTGGTGGATGGTCAGCCTTGTACTGTGTGGCCCTGCAAAGCCAGTCAGTTCACTAATGCCATGAATAGGACAGAAAGTAAGATCAAGATGCCCTCAGGAATTTGTAAGCTTTGGTGCTTTTTTCTGCACTCTTGAAAGAAACAGCTCTCTGAGTTAGCAATATAATCTCTCTTTTTATCACTATAAAATAATTATTACTGTGTGGGTAAAGAATTTTGTTTGATTCTAAAACATCAGGATTTGAGATTTCTCAACTGAAATCCAGAGGTAAGTTTTTCCTTTACTAAAGCTGCCAAGTACAGAAAAATCTTACAAAGTTGAACTAATGGAAGAGGCACCATTTATAAAGTTATTGTTGGAAAATACAGTGTACTTTTAAATACTTGAACATAATATAAAAGTCACATATTTAAATTGAAATACTAAAAGATTATTGCTGTAGAGGTCTTTGGCCAGCTATGCACTACAATGAAACCCAGCTCCCCTTTCCATCTCACATGGCGGGAGCACTGTAGCTGCAGTCCGCTGTGGGAAGGACAGAGAGCTGGTGCCCATCCAGGGGCCGAGGTCTGCCATATCATTAAGAGCTGTGGTCATCCTCTCTTCCAGCAAGGTCACTATGAAAACACTTTCCAAATAACAAACCGTTTCCAGAGTAACTTGTCCTGGGTTTCTTATGAAACTTCATTTCCACTACCACATCTTTCACTACACAATTTATACAGGGGAAAAAACCTACATAAAAGAAAGTTATAGAGAGAACCTGAGATGTGCTTGATAAAAAGCACTACTCAACTGCTAACAAACATATAGAGGAGCATATTTGGGTGCTGCCACACACAGAACCCCACTGCAGGCATGATGCGGAAGGGCAGGACTTGAAATCATGTAAAATATTGTTAAGTTTTCTAGGCATCTCAACTCGTGTTAAAGAATGTAAGGAAACATGGATAGAAAAGGAGTAAGGGCCAGATTGGATAAGATATGAACTTCTACATTGTAGAGTTTGAATTTAATCACAAACCCTTGACAATTTTAAGCAGAGGTGTTGTGATCAAAGTAAAATTTCAGAACCATGAACAAGCATCAGTGTGAAGGACGAAATGGCAGATGGGAGCACAAAAGTGGGAACACGAAGCAGGTGGGGGCCACCGCTATATGAGAGTCATGAGAGGCAGCAGAGGGGCTGGAAAGAAAAGATGACATGAAGAGATTACGTGGGGGAGGACTCCAAGGCTGATTTGCTGTGGGCACAGAAGGGAGAGCCAAGATAAGAGAGGAAAATTAGTCAGGATAAAAAAAATTGTAACACACCTTACAGTTACAGAGTGCTTTCCAGTTTACAACTAGACATGTTACACACCCCACAGTTATAGAGTGCTTTACAGTTTACAACTAAACATGTTATACACCCCACAGTTGTACAGTGCTTTACAGTTCCTTTAAGTATGTTAATGCATTTAGGATGTGAACTTCCACCCTAGTTGAATTGAGCTGGTGGTTACAGTAGGGAAGTCTAAGAATCTTGAGAAGCAACCAGAAATTATGTGACAACTTGGTTCTGGCACTGGATAATCAAAAATTTTCTGCACAGAGGTAGTAGCTGAGATGAAAGAATGTCTACATCTCTGAGGAAGGAATTTTAAAGATGAATGAACACTGCATGATGCTCCAAAATCACTGGAATAAGCAGAGAGAATAATAACTAGTATGACAGGTGCAAGAGTGGTCAGAGGGCAGGAAAAGAACAAGGATGCTAAACATTTACAGATGTGTACAGAGAGAGGCGCTGGAAGGAGGGTGAGTCCACAGTATTGGAAGTTGTGGACTTGGTAATTTGGTGATCTTGAGTAACTATGAAGAAATATACAGTAAGTCCTCTCTTAACATGAATAGGTTCTTGGAAACTGTGACTTTAAGTGAACAAGGTACAACAAAACCAATTTTACCATTGGCTGACTGATACAAACAACGGTTAAATTTCCACAGCGTATTTCTGGTCACAAAAACATCATCAAACTTCTCAATAAAGATCAAAACACTTCTAATTTTAAATGCTGAAATAAATGCAAACTATACATACATTTAAGAAAGATTAATGAAAACAAGTAAGATCATTATTTACTCAATTTGTGGTGAATTCGTAAGTGACAGGAGTCATAGCGGTGGTGTATTAAATCAACAAATGTTTGCAAAATGAAAATTTTCAGAGGAACCTCTACTACCACACAGCTCAAAAACAGTTAACAAATATTGCTGTGCATTTGGATGATTGCCAAATACCTGATAAATTTTTATTTCCCAATAACTTATATGCATTCATTCATTCATTTATTCATTTTCCAACCCACTTATTCCAGATCAAAGGTGGCCAGCGCCTATCCCAGCAGCTCAGGGTACAAGGCGGAACCCACCCTGGACAGGAAGCCATCCCATCTCAGGGCACATCTACACTCACTCACAGAGACCCTGAAGATTGTCCAATTCATCTGAAATTCACATCTTTGGTATGTGGGAGGAAACTGGAGTACCTAGAGAAAACCTACACAGACGTGGGGAGAGCATGCAAACTCCATACAAGTGGCCCCAGCTGGGAATCAATTATTTTTTCCTCTTCGATGTCATAATGAAATGATGCTGAACAAAACGACATTATTCAAGGACCTAATGTAACTGCAGTACGACAGTTCTGTAATCCTAAAACTCACCTCACTATACAAAATAGTGCAATAAAAACCACAGGGCTTGCAAGGAAAGTGGGTTAGGGGCACAACACTAAAAAATTTTTCAGTGACACATAAACAAAAAAAGACATCGAATAAAAACAATATGACAGTTCTGCATATGTTAAATGGTTAAAGAATGAAAAAATACTACAATCAACATGGCACTTAACCTTGAAAAAGACCTGAAGGTTGCTGGTGGAAGTGGGTGTTGGAAGAGTTGCAGCTTGTGAGTCACTGTGAAGTGGTGGAAGGAGGGTGATCTGAAATATAACGGAAAATTGTAACACAAGATGTAGAGGGTGTAGCTCATAACACATTTTGTGAATTGAAGAAATGGTGGACGTCTGAGGGGTGTGTGTGTAATTTCAGTTTACCCAGGTGCAGTTTTGCGCACACAAAATTGTGCATACGCAAATGCAAAATTTTTGGTATGCTCAAATCGTTACTTAACATATAAACTGCATTCAAGCACGTTTGAATGTTCAAAACAAGTATTTGTAGCATAACTTACTATAGAAGGGAGAATACTTCAAAATATTTCCAAAAAATTTGTTTACAAAATTCCTCTATGCAATTTTATTTGAAGTCTAAGTTAAACTCTCAGTTTCTGCCACATTCAAAGCATGGTTTTGGCATCATACAAGTCTGCCTCAACACTGTATTCAACTATTTTAACGATCATTTCTTGCCAGAGAACAGATGCCAAATGCTATATAAATCTGGAATGAATTATGAATTAAGAGTGACCCAGGGTCCACATGTGGGAAGCTAACTATTCTCTAACTTTTTCCAATACACTCTAACTTTTCATAAAGCTCACTTCAGAGCTGGCGTAGTACCTAAGGGACCAATGTGTCTTTCCTGTTACATAACTTTTATCTAAACCCTGACACAGCCTGAACCTCTCATGTACTACATTTCAGATGAAATCCTATAAAATAACATCCCATCTTGTCTGTAGGTATCTAGTTGAATTTTCACATTATAAAAAGCCTCCTCTAACACAATCAATGTCTCTATCACTTCTCACCCTAAATTAATATATAATCATATTCACACACTTAGAAGGGAGCCACATCTCACAGGTTAAACTTTAAGTGCAGTTTCTGAATGTAATCACCATACAAACATAAGATACAGGCATATGCTTATCATATACAAGTATAACATAGGTGTCTCCTGCCTTCACTCAATAACCATTTGGATTCAGCACAACACTCATGAAATAAATAGTATCACGTAGTCAAAAGAACCAGTTTATTGCCTTTGGTTCCTACTTTCTACAGGTGCTGTGTGTCCAATGCGCACTGCATGGACCTACCATTTACAGTTGTGGGTATTTCTGAGAGGCACTTCCCACATTAGCCACTAGAAGTCCTTAGTAATACACATTTGTTAGGCTGGGAGGAGAGGAAAAAGGAGCAAAGATAAGGAAAAACAGCACAAAGAGGATAGTGGGCAAAAAACAAAAAAACACATCTAGAGGATTAAAAGAAAAACAATCGACAAAATCATAGAGGCAGAGCTTAGAGGAATCAAAACAATGAATGCACTAGGGTGATTTATGCCACCAAAAACTGTGCTTTTAAATTAGATAAGAAATTTTTATTTTTATGCAGACAACTGAATGAGCCATAAAGTCACAACCAAACTTAGATTTAAAAGGCATTCACTACTATTTCTAGATTAATTGAGATTTAGCATTACCAGAAGTCTCCATGTATTCCCCAACATATTTAAATAGACCGGAGGCAATAGCTTGGGGAAAATTGAAAAGGGGGCTGGAGGGGTTCCAGTTGTACCAAAAGATTGGTTATAAAGTCAATGAATATACTTTAAATACTTATCCTACTCTACATTTTTGGAAAGTATTTAAAATTTTTAAATTTCAAATTTTAGCTTTTAACCAAAACTTAGTTAAGAAATGTAAGTTATTTAATCTTATTTCAGGAAATAAACAGAATTTCAAAAAATGGAAGGAGTTTTGAATTTGATTTTGTAGTTTCTGGTCCTGAACAATATAATATTCATAGGAAAAGCAGAAAAAAAAAAAAGTTGAAAATTGAGCAACAAAACAGAAGCTAAACTACCCTGCAAAGGAACTCTGCTGCAATTATGAAACTATCCAGAAAAGCTATATAATAGTTTCTACCAGTTTATGTGGTAATTTATTATACTATGCTTTTCTATATGAAGAGTTCATGTGCATTTAAATGATGATAATCCTCTTCTCTATTTTATTATCAACCTTACATGACCAGAAGTCTTGTTAGGGGAGAACTTGGTATGCTATATATCATTTTGTATATGATTACTGTGGGAAGCCTTATACAATAGTCTCACATTAAACAATCTACTTTATAGCACATGATAAATTGCTTTGCACCATGGTCACCTCAAGGATGTACACACACACAAACCCCATCCTTTCCCAGGCTTTTGGTCATGTCAGCCTCTTAACACTATAATACACTTCTCAGCTTTTCTAAGCTACAATAATGATGTGCTTACACGACATCCTCATCCCATCCTAGACAGCACGAAATTTATGTGTGCCTTGTACTCAAGTATTCTCTACAGTCATGAAAGGAGGAAGGGATGTGAGTAGGTGAACGGATTTAGCAACTGAGAAGGAACTTTCGACAGGTGCTGTGAGCAGCCAGGTGCAGTCCAGTGAGGATATAGTCCACAGCCACCTTGCTGGCTTACTCTCTAGTAAGTGCCTGGAAAGAGGGCCCAGGGCCTCAGTGTCCCTCCCTTGGTCTTGGAAATGTTAAAGATAGTGAGTTCAGAGGCTACATCCTGAATAGAGGGTAGTGTCTCCAAAAAAACTGATGAGAATGGTTCAAAACCTGCTCTGAATCATTCCCATGGGAGGAAAAGGGAACTTGAGCTGGTTAAACCCAATTATTCAGTGAGCAAGCTACTTCTGAAGAGTACATTAGGAACTTCTGGATGCTACATTAACTCTTTCAAGTCACTAAGGACCCTTTAGTTCTGACATGCTCATTTAAAACTATTACTACTAAATTAATTAAATTTCAAAAGATACAATTTGAATTAAACATAGTACCACTTTTATTACTGCCTATTTATATCAAGTCTTTTCTCTAAGGAGATAAAAGGTGATTTAGAAACTCCTAATTAACAGAAGGTAATTTAATCATAGTCTTACTGTAAGGTATCATTAGTTTCTCTCAAGTCTGTGATAACTAAGTACAGATGTAAGTTAAAAGAGGAAAGTAATTGAAGACTTCTCTGTAATGAAAAGCAATACTTTTTTTTTAAACACAGCAGAGTGTCCACAGTTCTCCAGGAATAACAGAGCTGGAAGAATGCATCTGAGCAGCTACTATTTACTGTATAAACCAAGCCGTAGTGTTCTTCCTGATGTTGACCACATAACTCACATGTTCTAGTATCTTCCCTTTTCAGAGCAGAGAGACAACTTGCCTAGCAAGATGATGGGAAAACTTACCTTTTGCTTTTCATTTTGAACTTTAAACCTGACTTTATGAAATGGAATAACTATGCTCTGTATAAATAACAAAGTGGGTCATCACAAATGTGGCTCTGGAATTTGGAGCGATGTTAAAATAAACTCACACATAGGTCTTCAAGCTTCAGGAGCTATAGGCATCCAGCCTTTGAAAACTAATAATGACAATCATAATGACTATGATTTATTGAATATTTATTACGTTCTAGTCTATTTACAGGTACGTAGTCTTATTTATAAGCCTTTGAGGTTTTGATCTAATGTCCATTGTAGAGTTTTAAAAGTGGGCTTGGGCTGGGCACAGTGACTCACACCTGTAATCCCAGTACTTTAGGAGGCTGAGGCTGGAGGATCGCTTGAGGCCAGTTCAAGACCAGCCTGGGTAACACAGTGAGACCCCATTTCTTAAAAAAAAGAGGGAAACAGCCTTGCCCCCAGTCACACAAGTAAGCACTAGTGCAGGAGCTAGCTCATTAGCAGGGGCTCATCTATTTCCTAGGGTGCAGTCTTGTGCATATGTGTTCACACCCCATGCACACCTACCTGGGTAGTCTGTGAATACACCACTGTTCTTATTAAGATATGCCCTTTGTAAAACATGCCAGGGAATACCTTCTGTTGCCCTGGGAGCCAGTTCATGGTGGCAGGTGAGATAAGGATGAAGACAAGGATTTCCCAAGGCGGAGCTGGAGCTGGTGGATGCTGTGTGTGGTTGAGGGGAAGGGGAGCCAAGGCTTTCTTCCCTGGGAGATGTGGTTTGGCTCACTCACCAGGGTCAGTAGGTATTGGAGAGTGGGGGCCTGTAGCAGTTGGGGGAAAGTGGCTATCTGACTTTCAAGAATTTCTCTGCTCAGCTCAAATGGAGCCTATCCCTACCCAAGGCGTCCCTTTTCTCGTGTGACCCAGTCCATGTGCTAACATCATTGCACACCACAGCCTCTGACTATTAGCTCATGTAACAATTGATTTATGAGCATGCTTGGGAAAAATCATAAAACACTGTACACATATGAGGGATGTTCCCACCTCAGGTGGCTTAACTGCACCAGTTTGCTCTCCTATTGTAGCCAGGTGAATAACTAGGGGCTCTCACATTTTCCTCCTCCTCTCTTCTGCACTAAGCTCTTCTATATAGTTTTTTTTTTTTTTTTTTTTTTTTTTTTTTTTTTTTAAAGGGCATATGAATCTTTAAGGAGGGAATTTCAGACAGGATAAAGGATCCTCTGGTAAAAGGTGGGGAAACATCTAGGGTCTGAACAAGAGGTAAAAGATCCAGGAGCTGGGATGCTCAGATCTTCCTTCTCAGGACTGGTCTCTCCGGCCTCTGGTCCCTCTCTCCCTACAAGCATCTGGAGCTGTCCAAGCACCTCAGGCATCCTCCTCTTCTTGGACTAGCAAAGCCAGCCCTCACTGCCTTAGAATGTGAGTGCTTCCATACAGACCTAAGACTGGAAGAGCAGCCACTCCACCCTCTGCTCCCCCTGCCCCAAGGCTTTTTGTGTGCATGGAAATAAAAATCAAGTTCAGGGAATACAGGGACATATGGGAAAGACATGTATGGTAAGAAGGGCACCTGATATCTGTGTCCTGGAGATCAAGGTTATTTTCATTCATTCACCAAAAATGGATTTTGAGTACCTGCTGTGTGCCAGGCTCTGCTGTCGGTGCTGAGAACGCATTGTTGAATAGGATACATGGGCCCTGTTACCCTGGAGCTCAGATTTCAGGGAGAGGAAGAGAGGTACTTTTAAAAAAGGAATC